GGCGCCGGAACACCGGGTTCTCGTCCCAGTTGGGGTGATGGATTCTGTCCCGGTTGCCCCTCTTCCAGGCCAGCTCTCTGCTGTGGCCCAGGGAGTGCAGTGGAGGATGGCCCAAGTGCTTGGGCCCTGCACCTGCATGGGAGACCAGAAGAAGCACCTGGCTCCCTGGCTTTGGATCAGAGTGGTGTGCTGGTCACAGCGGCCATTGAGGGGTGAACCAACGGTAAAGGAAGACCTTTCTCTGTTTCTCACTGTCCACTCTGTCAAAAAAAAAAAAAAAAAAAAAGAAAAGAAAAAAGAATGTAATGAGTGGAGTGTGTGCAGTGAGCACCCAAGAGAGAATTTGGGAAGTTACTGCTAGCTTGTTCCCGAGATCCACTTGACAAGTCCCTGGAAGGTGGGGTGCACCTGCAGAGTCAGGCTCAGAGCTTGACCTTGTCATAAGAGGATCTTAGAACTTCAAAAAGTTAACTAAAGTGGATTTGTCTACTTTCATCAGTACAGTCTTAGAAATGTTACTGAAATTTTAATACTGTGAATCTGACAACACTTAAAGATCCGCATTCTAAACACTTGTAGAATTCAGTTGATAAAGAAAAAAGATGTAGCTTTTATTGATACCCTCAGAAATCCTTGTTAAGTCTTAACAAAGGGTGTTTAATTATTGTGTAAGTTTCTGCTTGCCCTCTTGAGCTCCAGGTCTTAGGATTCCCATCAGGTTTTGAGCTGATATTTGGACTGCTGGGTAACAATAACCTGTTCTTTGTCTCAATCATTGCCATTTCTTACTGATCACCAGAATGAACCCTGAAGGCAGAGGTGGGGATGTGGTTTGAGGAACAGGCAGAGCCAGCACCAGCACCCTGGCTTCCTGGGTTTAGCACCCCTGGGCACAGTACTCTATTGCTTGAGGTCAGGTGACTATCAAAGTATCTCTGAAGGCCCTACTCAGGGATTGTGACCTTGAAAAACCAGCCTATGGGTCTAAAGTTCATTTTGTTCTATCTCTAGAGGCTGGGATCGGAGGCAGTGTCTACACAGCACTGTCTGCCTAGACTGGCAGGAACTGGTTGCTTCATCCTTCCCTAGTTCCCTAATGAGATAGTACTTTGAAGGAGACAGAAATCCCGAGTCAAAGTCCCTCACTGGTGGAGATTTTGTTTGGGAAGGAATCCATCACCTCATCAGCTGTCCTAAAAATGTACCTGCTGTATAGATAATCAGCCGTAATTACCATCAAATATGAGATGGGTCAGGTTAGCCAGCCACCACACCAACCATCCCAGCTGTGCCATGTTCCTTGTGTTCCCCTATGAGACCTGTTTTTATTTAAGGAGATGTCCCATTTTGTAATGTGTTCTTTTCTCCACTGTGTGAGCATGATGGCTCTGGGCTGGTTCTTGAATTGCAGCCTCTTTACTCCACAGGTTCCTTGTGGGAGCCGTGATTTCTCCATGTTAGTCTTTAGTGCATAGAAAATTTGGGTAAGGTTAGCAAAAACTGTTTCTGGTCAGATCCCTGTTCATTGGGCTCTTGTGAAGTAGTTTTAGCTTAGAGGCATGATTCATGTTCTTGGATTTCAAAGCTGTGAGCCTTCTCCCCAGTCAAGTGCATTTGTAGCTGGAATTTCAGTTTGAGGGGTTAATGGATGTCCTGAAGTCATGTCACAACCCTCCAGAGTAAGGTCAGGGAGTTTCTTTTTGCCGTTGGGGTCTATACATTTGAAATGATAAAATCTACTTCATGCGTATCAAGTGGTGCTTGTAGCTGGGGCTGCTGCTGTGACACTGGATGGCCAAAGCAGAAATCCCATGAAACTGAATGCAGCTTGCTTTCTGCTCAAGTTCATGACTGTTTCCAAACGAGTCCAAGTTGGGTGTGGACTGGTGAGAGCTAAAGCAGTCATTTTCCCAACAGCCCTTCTGTGGAAGTATACCCGTGCCAACTCTGGATCTACCTTTGTTCTACAGGAAAAGAAGCAGCAGAGGCCGCCCTGGAGAAGGGGGATGAGTGTGCTGTGTGTCACCAGTGGTAATGACACCCTTGGGTTCTGGGCAGAGCCAGCAAGAGCCACAGGCGAGCCCTGTCTTTGCCCTGGCCATAGAGCATTCACTAGCGGGACCAGCAGAGGGCGCTCTAGCCTGTGTCTTTCAAAGGCTTCACACTATTCTCACCCTCACCCCCCTCCACCCCCAACCTGGGACCAAGGAAGTCTTATCTGGGAGGGGAGTTCCTTGGGGGTGAGGTGTGGAGGGGGAGTGTAAGCTTTTTTTTCTGCTGCGGCTTAGAGAACTGAGTAACTGTCTACGAGTCATTCTAGCTACAGAATTGGTGGGTTCTTGGCTCCTCAGGGTAGCTGGGACAGTTTGCAGCTCCCTTGTTCTGCACACGCACTCCTTGCCTCCAGCTGCTGTCCCTGGCTCATGATGGACCTTGGCTTCTTTGCTTGATTGGCATCAGGGAAAGTGGATGTGAGTTCACCCCTAGGAAGTTCACTGGTCCTCCCAAGTCCCAGTGATACACCTGTATGCATCCAAGGGTAAAGAAACCCTTTTAGTCCAGAAGATAAGCAAGAACTCCTTGTCAAGTTTTTATGACACTTGGGGCTATACTCTATTAGGGCCAGTCTGAGGGATTGGTCTGAGACCTTGTATTTCCTGTGGGGGACTCACCTAGAATATACTGGATAATGGTAAGCCTACCACTGTTTCTGAAGAATACTAGAGGGGATCATGCGTCTATGAAGATAGGGAATTCACATACAGGTAGAAATTCTGCTTCAAGCTCTAGTTGCGGGTGGAGCTAACCTTGCTGTGATAAAGCCAGTCCTTGTCCCTGAGCTTGCTGCGGCTTCCCCCGTAGGTATGCAGTGCTTTGTGGTCAGCTGGCTGAGCATGAGGGCATCCAGAGGCGTATCCAGAGTGGCTTTAGCTTCAAGGTGAGAACAGGCTTCTAGCGCAGGTCGCCTGCTCTGTCCCAGACCCCGTGCATCTCTGGTGCCCTTTCATATCTGCACTTCCCCCTCAGGAGCATGTGGACAAAGCCATTGCTCTCCAGCCAGAAAACCCCAAGGCTCACTTTCTTCTTGGCCGGTGGTGCTACCAGGTGAGTTACATTACAGGGCTTAACGTCAGTGGTCCTGTGACGCTGATCACCTTCCTCAAATGAGCAAGGTCCTTGGTCTGGCTCAGTTGCCATTTATTTTAAATGTTCTTGTTATTGGTAGTTGACCTGTTAGACCTTAAGGTTGTTTCTTATAATCTTTTGTTTACACTTTGATCTTTTGGTGGCAGGTCTCTCACCTAAGCTGGCTAGAAAAAAAAACTGCTACAGCCTTGTTTGAAAGCCCGCTCAGTGCTACTGTACAGGATGCCCTCAATAGTTTCCTAAAGGTATCTGGGAGGGGTGGAGGGCAGCCTAAAATGCCAAGGACATTACTTAATACAAGAAATTTCTGGCATGGAGCAACTTGGTCTACACTATGGGAAATCTGGAAACCATTAAAGAGAACATAAAATCAACTCGAGCCTGACTTGGAACTGGGCACCTTACTGAAATGCATTCTTCCCTCTTTCAGGTTGAAGAACTACAGCCAGGATTTTCTAAAGCAGGAAGGGTGTATATTTCCAAGGTAAACTCACTCGCCTACTTTAACAGGGATGAACATATTCATACCCGTCTAGTCCCCAAATACTACTACTGCTCCCAGAGTTTCACTTTCATCTCTTGTCAGTGCTACAGAGAACTAGGGAAAAACTCTGAAGCTAGACGGTGGATGAAATTGGCCCTGGAGCTGCCAGATGTCACTAATGAGGTAGTATTTTTTGAAGAGCTTTCCAAATAAAATCATCACATGATCTTTTCAGGAAAGAAAATCTTCCCCTAGGAAACAAGACCGTCCTTGCACAGGCATACAGATTTAGATTTGTTTTGTCTCCCTAGGACTCGGCTTTGCAGAAGGACCTGGAAGAATTAGAAGTCATCTTAGGAGAATAACCACATTTCAAGGGCCTTCATGACTTGAGGGAAATCACAGCTTAAGGGAAAACTTTCCTTAGACCCCACTGAGATCATGAAACCAAGTGAGTGGTTTAAGGCATGTCTCAAATCCTGAGTCTGAGCACCACCGCCACCTGCCCGTCCCCAATTTGTTCTAATCTCTTGCCTCATCTGAAACTGGGGAAGTAGCTGTGACCTAGGTTTTTGCTATTATCCCCCTTAGTGAATTCTTGAAAAATCAAGATAGGTGGAGCCCTGAAGGCTGCTTGAGCTTTTCCAAATGCGGGTGAGGTGGATGAGCTTCAAAGAGCTATGGGAACAAAGCACAGGACTTGTAACGCGCTCATTTTTTTCACTGATTAATATTAAATACCTATAAATACAGTTCTAAGATACCCTATCAGGGCAAAAAGGAAGGTCAGAGCAGCCCTTGTCATCTACAACAGGGGGTCTACCTGAACTCTATGGCTGAGGGGCTGGACCACTTGACTTCCAAAGTCTTAGCAGAGGGTTTATAAGCGTTGCCTGGAATATATTTTGGTACAGACTTCAAATAAACCAAATTTGAAGTGACTGTTTTCCTTTCTCATTTATCAGCTCTTTAGGTCATTGCAGACAGGCAGAAAATTCAGCTTAAATAAGGTCTACCAGGTGTTCCTACTCCTCTCCCGTTCATTCCTAGGCCTACCAGTACAAAGCCTAATTATACATAGAAGAAAAACACTCTCCATTACTTTAGGACTGAGATGGCTTTGTAAGAACCAGCCTTTCACTCCAGAATCTGTCACTGTGGTCTTGTTATCTGAGATACCCAGAAATAGTTAAGGAACATTTTGGGTGAGATCTGGATCAGAAGTCCTAACTAGTAAAGGCAGTAAACCCTGACTTCAGGAAAATACAGTATCCTGTAAACTTAGTTACATTTAAGTTCCTGGGACATTGACAAGGTAAGAAGAAAAATATCTCAAATCCCTGAAGCACAATAATATGGGTCAGTAGCAGACATTCACAACATGAGATTTATGAAATAAAACAAAGGCCACGGCATATGTTTTCCATTAGGCTGAAGGACACACATTAAATCATGTAAATGTAGGATTGCCTTTGAATGCAACATAACCCAATCACCCCCACCCAGTGCCAGAAGGGATACTATGGAAACTAGCTTGAAGTATTTAGCTTGCACAAGACTGTAGTAAATGTGCTGTCTAGAGTCAGACAACTACTGTGTTAGCAGTTTCACACTGAATCTACTTAGTCTGCCACTAAAATGCTTAATTCACAGCGAAAGACCAAGCAAGAAGATGGTAAAAGGCCAGCAGGCCCACATGCCAAGTTCCTTAACATTCTTAAGAGTTTGGGAGACTCATCCCCTTTGCTGCACAGTTCAGGCATTATGCTTTATTACCATTTCTCAGAAGAGAGTTAGGTCTCCCAGCTTTAGTTCTCTTAGAGACCTATAATTGTCCAATAAACATTTCGGATCAGTTTGTGTGACACTGACCATCAGCTAATACAATAGGTGTTTTTCCAGAAGTCTCTTCCTGGCAGTCACAACAGGAAGACAGCTGTGAAGAATCCCCCAAGGAGCAGTCCTCTCGTTAGGCTGTAGCACTTAAGGTTTATCACCGGAAAAAAACCAATGTTCATTCTTTGGCATCCCCCACTCCATCTGCATTGATGGCAAACATGGCCTCAGCTTCAGGAAGACAAGGAGAGTCGTAGATTTTGCAGATTCTGGTTTCCCCTCTTCCTTTCCTCAGGTACAGTCTGCCCCAAAACAGAGCAAAGCACCAAGTTATTCAACAGCTCCCTTCCCAGCATGACAGACTACAGATCTTTTAGACATGTATACTTTCTAGCAGGACTTTGGCAGCCTTCTGTATACCTTAGTGTGCTTCTAATCTGGAGGAATCCAGCTCTGCTCCCGCAAAATGAAACTCTTATGCCTCTCCTTGTTATATCAATTATTCATATTTTCTACACTTACGGATTTTTAATTCTTTTATGAACTGAAAGCAAACACATGTACTAAGAAGAGCATGACAATGAGATTTTGCAGAATCTAATTAAGTCCTGGTGAAGCTACTGTTACATAAATGGAAATGTTACAACCATGCCTACCTCACAGCTAACATGACAACCCAAGAAATATCATCTACCTCATTTACCTTACCTGGTTGTTGATGCATGGGCTATGATATTTCCTCCAATAGGCTTTTTAGGATCTGCAGCAAACATGGCTGCTCCATCCACTTGGGCTACCACCTGGTTGGTGATGACCACTGCTACACCAAACTGATGGGGAAAGGATAAACATTACTTTTGGGCCAGACATTCCATGAACTTTCACACTGCTACCAGCCCCCCCCCCCCAAAGCAATGACTGACGAATATCTTTCCTAATAGCTTGATAATCTAAGGCACTGATTTCCTGGCCTCCTGGCAAGGCTCCTAGAATCTCTGAGCACTGCAAGTAAGCATTCCTTGTCTCGACCCGTAGCTTACCTCATCAGCAAGTCGCAGAAGCATCCGTAGAAACCTGGCCAGGTGCATCTGCCTGGCTGAGAGCTCACCTCGACCCGAGTAGTCTGTTCTGTAGAGGGCGGTGGCACTGTCTACGATAAGCAGTGCATACCTACAAGGAACAAAGACCCCATGAAACCTGTTTCTACCCTGTCAGATTCTGCTCCCTTCTTCATTACCCTACAACATCATAGTTTGACTTGGATGTAGACTTCTATTAAAGTATTTCTGCAGCATTCAAATCTGAAGCACTGTTTAATTAGGTAAAACAGCAAGTTCAGGTAGACATGGTTGCTTTTTCTTCTTTTTAAAATATTTATTGACTTTATATGTTGTTCTAGAATCAAGCAATAGTCTAGACCCAAAACAATATGGAATGGCCTCCTAGTTTTACATTTATGTATTTTTAAAGATTTATTTATTAGGGGGCCAGTGCTGTGGCATAGCAGGTAAAGCCACCACCTGCAATGCCGGCATCCCATATGGGTGCCAGTTCAAGTCCTGGCTGCTCCACTTTTCATCCAGCTCCCTGCTAATAGCCTGGGAAAGCAGTGGAAGATGGTCCAAGTCCTTGGGTTCCTGCACCCACATGGGAGACCCGGAAGAAGATTCAGGCTTCGGAATGACACAACCATTTAGGGAGTAAACCAGTGAATGGTAGACTTCTTTCTCTCTGCTTCTAACTGCCTTTCAAATAAATAAATAAATCTTTAAAAAAATTTATTTATTTGAATGGAGGGGGTCGGGGGAGGGAGAGTGCCAGGGAGAAAGATCTTCTATCTGCTGGTTTACTCCCCAGATGGTTGCAGTGAGGACCCCAGAGTTCCCTCTGATCTCCCACGTGGGTAGCAGAGGCCCAGGTATTTCAGTCATCCTCTGCTGCTTTCCCAGGCGCATCAGCAGGGAGATGCATCAAGAGCAGAACAGCTGGAACCTGAACTGGCACTCCAGTATGGAACGCTGGTGTCACAAGCAGTGGCTTGGCCTGCTGTGGCACGATTCCAGCCCCCAGACTTGACTTTTAAAATTAGTTTGACCTAAACCACAAAACAGGGGCATCAATACAGGAACTAAACTTACAAGCTGCTAGCAATGTGGTCAAACAGCCTGTAGAAGATTCAGGGTAAAGTCTTTGGGAACACCTTTAGTGTTTTCTACTGAGCACAAACCTGGACTCTACCATCATGGCTGATGCTTGATACAGGAGCTGGGTCTGGTGGTCTGTGTTGAAGCCCCGAGCATAGGCTACATTATCCAGAACATCGCTGCCAGAGAGGCCATACCTAGGAGAGAGCAGAGAACAGTTTTGGGCTATATACAGAACTCAGACGGAAAATTCATCTCTAATGCTTACATTGCCTGGAAGAGCAGGTAAGCAGCGGCGTTGACAGAGGTTTTGGGGACACAGAATGTAACTTCCTACGTCAGGAAGCTTAGGCAAACTACGGAAAGATGATAGCAGCAACTACTTTGGAGTAGATCTACCTGATAAGATTTCAAGACAAATCACAGCTGTTCTTTGAGGACTCCTGAACTAGACTGAACATTTTCCCAATATAAGGTAACAATATACTACTGGAAAAACCCAAAGCGCGTGACAGAATTTGGAGGAACAAAAATAACAAATCAGAGATTAATTAAATCCACGTAAACTGTTAATATGAGAAATAAAACCTTCTAAATAAGGACTCCAGGCTGGCGCCACGGCTCAATGGGCTAATCCTCCACCTGTGGCGCCGGCACACCGGGTTCTAATCCCAGTCAGGGCACTGGATTCTGTCCTGGTTGCTTCTCTTCCAGTCCAGCTCTGGTGTGGCCTAGGAGTGCAGTGGAGGATGGCCCAAGTGCTTGGGCCCTGCACCCGTGTGGGAGACCAAGAGAAGCACCTGGCTCCTGGCTTCGGATTAGCGTGGTGCGCCGGCCGCAGCGGCCATTGTGGGGTGAACCAACGGAAAAAGGAAGACCTTTCTCTCTGTCTCCCTGACTGTCCACTCTGCCTGCAAACAAACAAACAAACAAAAACAAAAAACAAGGAAACAAGGACTCCAACCAATAAGTTCAAGAAAGTAAACACTTTTTTTTTTTTTGCTTTTCTTGTTGGTAGCTGGTTTACATAGAGTATGTGACATTTATACATCTAATATAATTGACACCAAAACAAAATTCATGTCTGAATTTTCTTCCTCTGAATTTTTTTTTAAGATTTTATTTATTTGAGAGGTAGAACTACAGACAGTGAGAGGAAAAGACAGAAAGGTCTTCCTTGCGCTGGTACACTACCCAGTGGCCGCAACGGCTGGAGTTGCACCGATCCAAAGCCAAGAGCCAGGAGCTTCTTCCCAATCTCCCACACGGGTGCAGGGGCCCAAGGACTTGGGCCATCTTCTACTATTTTCCCAGGCCACAGAAGAGAGCTGGATTGGAAGTGGAGCAGCTGGGTCTCAAACCGCTGTCCTTATGGGATGCCGGTGCCACAGGCGGAAGATTAACCTACTGTGCCATGGCGCCGGCCCCTCCTCTGAATTTAAAATCGGCAAATGAGTATCTTCTGTTTGTAATGTCACCTAAGACATGAATGTTCCAGATGGCTCAAACTGAATTTCTTATTAAATGTACCAAAACAGAACTCCATTTCTTCAGTGGAGGATGGTCAAGTCCTTGGGCCCCTGTATCCACATGGGAGACTTGGAGGCCCCTGGCTCCTGGCTTTGGATCAGTGCAGCTCCAGCCATTGAGGCCAGTTGAGGAGTGAACCAGCAGATGGAAGACTCTGTTTAACTCTTTCAAATAAAAGATTCAACGGAATGCCTGTACTTTGCCTGCATCCCATATAGGTGCCAGTTCGAGTTCTAGCTGCTCCACTTCTGATCCAGCTCCCTACTAATGCGCCTGGGAAAGCAGAAGATGGCCCAAGTCCTTGGGCCCCTGTACCCAAGTGGGAGACCCAGAAGAAGCTCCTGGCCTCAGTCTAGCCCAGCTCTGGCCATTGTGACCCTTTGGGGAGTGAAGGAAGATCTCTCTGCTTCTCCCTCTTTCTCTCTCTAAAAAAAAAAAAAAAAAATTCTCAAACAGATGTGATTTTCTCTCTCTGTACTACCAGGAAACATTTGGGCTTTCCATGGCATTTGTGAAGAGCTACTTTGAAATTCTTTTACTAATTACAAATTCCTCAAGGAAAAGAATGGGTCTTTCTACCTACCTAGTATGTTTTATATAGCTAGTAAATTCTGAATATAGCTTTTATCCACAACCAAAAAACAGAGATTTGTGTATCATCACTCTAACCTACGTAATGTTCTCATATTAATGTCACCTGCAATCACATCACAATAGTCCAAAGTATAACAGCGACCCTCTTAGTGACAGTTCAAAAGAGAATGTGTAAGTGAAGGCCAGGAGTGGTCATTGTGGCACAGCGGGTTAAGCTGCCACTGTGATGCACATATCATCTGGTAATAGAGTACCAGAAGTTTCAGCTGCTCCACTTCCGAGGCCAGGAAAGCAGTGGAGGATGGCCCTAGTGCTTGGGCCTCTGTTATCCATGTGGGAGACCCACATGGAGTTCCCAGGCTCCTGGCTTCTGTATGGCCCAGTCCCAGCTATTGTAACCACTTATGGAGTGAACCAGCAAATGGAAGCTATCTCTTTTACCTTCTCTAGCTCAATCTCTCTCTCTCCTCTTCTACTTTTCAAATAATTTTTTTTTTTTTTTTTTTGACAGGCAGAGTGGACAGTGAGAGAGAGAGAGACAGAGAGAAAGGTTTTCCTTTGCCATTGGTTCATCCTCCAATGGCCGCTGCGGCTGGCGCACCACGCTGATCCAAAGCCAGGAGCCAGGTGCTTCTCCTGGTCTCCCATGGGGTGCAGGGTCCAAGTACTTGGGCCATCCTCCACTGCACTCCCAGGCCACAGCAGAGAGCTGGCCTGGAAGAGGGGCAACTGGGACAGAATCCGGTGCCCCGACCGGGACTAGAACCCGGTGTGCTGGTGCCGCAAGGCGGAGGATTAGCCTATTGAGCCGCAGCGCAGGCCAAAATAAATCTTAAAAAAAATGAAAAATACAAAATGAAACTCAAAGTACTGTAATTCTTTGAGCTATGTTCTATGTTTACAATTCTAGAATGAGGATAAGCAGTATGAGGATAAGCAGATGGCATGAAGATAGTTTTAGGATCCCAACCGAATAAAAGTTTTTTATATTTAAATCACAGAAGTATGAAGATTCAAGAGGCTTACATACAATTCTGAGCAATCCTACTAGTTTTGCTTCCAGAAACATTGATAAAATCTACTAAGAAGGGGAGGGTTATCTTTTTGGTCTCAGAACATAGATTTTTTTTTAAAATGATTTTTATTTATTTGAAAAGCAGAGTTACAGAGAGAGCTTCATCTGCTGGTCCACTCCCCAATGACCCCAATCGCCAGGGCAGGGTCAGAAGCCTAGAGCTTCATCTGGTCTTTCAGATGGGACTCACACCAGCACCCACAAAGGAAGCCAGCCTCGAAGGCAGCAGCTTAACCTACTGTGCCACAACATCGGCCTCAGAACATGACAAGTTTAGCAGAAAAATTTACCAACTCCTTTTTTTTCCAGCAGCACTCACAAAGTAGAATATATTCCAGAAGAAGGACATGAAATTTTCAATTCCTAAAATGTGGAAAAGGTTGGCTAGAAGTACCATCCTCTCTCCTAAAGTTTAGTGACCTTATTTTTTAAAATATTTATTATATTTGAAAGGCAGAGGCAGAGTGCAAGAGAGAGGTCCTCCATCTGCCAGTCCACTCCCCAGATGGCTGCAACAGCCAGAGCTGGGCCAATCCAAAGCCAAGAGCCAGGAGCCTCCTCCCACTCTCCCACATGGGCGCAGGGGCCCAAGGACTCAGGCCATCCACCACTGCCCTCCCAGGCCACAGCAGAGCGCTAGATTAGAAGTGGAACGGCCAGGACCTGAACAGGTGCCCACATGGGATGCCAGCGCTGCAAGCGGCGGCTACACCCACCATGCCACAGCCCCGGCCCCAAGTGAACCTTCTCAAAGGTAAGAATAGGTAAAGCCACCGCCTCCAGTGCTGGCATCCCATACAGGCATTGGTTCGAGTCCTGACTGCTCTACTTTCAGTCCAGCTCTTTGCTAAGGCACCTGGGAAAGCAGCGGAGGATGGCGCAAGTCCTTGGGGCCCTGCACACGTGTGAGAGACCCGGAAGAAGCTTCTGGTTCCTGACTTCGGATCGGTGCAGCTATTTGGGGGAGAGAACAAGCAGATCAAAGACCTCATTCTGTCTCTACCTTGCTAACTCTTTCAAATAAATAAAATATTTTAAAAAACCCAGGGGCTAGCGTTGTACTGTAGTGTGTAAAACCACTGCCTGATGTCATGAACCCAGGTGGGCTTTGGTTCAAGTTCCAGCTACTCTGCTTTTGATCCTGCTCCCTGCTAATTTGTCTGAAAGCAGTGGAAGACGGCTCAAGGACTTGGACCCCTGAACCAATGTGGGAGACTCAAATAAGGCTCCTGGTTTTTACCTGGCTCAGGCCCAGATACAGCTATTTGGGGAGTGAACCACTGAATGAACGATCCCTCCAACTCTGCCTTTCAGATAAATAAATAAACCTTAAAAAAAAAAAAAAAAAAAAAGTAAGTATAACTTAGAAATTCCAGGGGCCTGGCGCTGTGGTGTAGCAGGTAGCCACTGTCTACAATGCTGGCATCCCATATGTGTGCCAGTTCGAGACCTGGCTGCTCCACTTCTGATCAGCTCTCTGCTATGGCCGGGGAAAGCAGAAGATGGTCCAATTCCTTGGGTCCCCACACCCACGTGCGAGACCCACAAGAAGCTCCTGGTTACGATCAGCATAGCTCTGGCTGTTGTGGTCATTTGGGGAGCAAACCAGTGGATGGAAGACCTCTCTCTCTGCAACTCTGCTTTTCAGATAAATAAAAAAATAGATATTTTTAAAAAAAATTGGAGCTCCTTTTAAAAAACAATCTCAGGTTATTCTTAATAGGTAGGTAAGTTTGTAAAACTCAGTTCTATCACTTCCAAAAGGTTTATCTTTCTCTCATAGTACTTAACTTTCAAAAAAGATAGTGACTCTACTTAGCAATTGTGTCCATGGCTTTCAAACTTCAGCAAGTATCAGATTATCTGGAGAGCTTGTTAAAAACAGATTGTTGAGGACTGGTGCTGTGGTGGAGTGAGTAAAGCCACCACCTGCAGTGCTGGCATCCCATATGCCAGTTCGAGTCCCGGTTGTTCCACTTCCAATCCAGCTCTCTGCTATGGCCTGAGAAAGCAGTAGAAGATGGCCCAAGTCTTTGGGCTCTTATACCCATGTGTGAGACTGGGAAAAATCTCTTGACTTTAGATTGGCGCAGCTCTGGCTGTTGTGGCCATCTGGGTAGTGAACCAGCAGATGGAAGACTTCTCTGCCTCTCTATAACTCTGCCTTTCAAATAAATAAATAAATAAATAAAATCTTATAAAAGAAAAAAGATTGTTGGACCCTACTTGCACAGAGTGGGGATCGAGAATGAAATTTTTTTTTTTCTTAAAGTTTTATTTATTTATTTGAAAGGCAGAGTGACAAAGAGAAAGAGATCTTCATCTGTTGGTTCAGTCCCCAAATGGCTGCAGTGATGAGGAATGCACAAAGCTGAAGTCAGGAGCCTAGAACTCCATCTGGGTCTCCCACATAGGTGGCAGGGACCCAGGCACTTGGGCCATCTGCTGCTAGTTTCCTAGGCACATAAGCAGGGAGCTGGATTGGAAGACGAGTAGCCAGGACTCAAACTGGCAATTTGTTATAGGATGTCAGCATCACAGGCAGCAGCCTAACACACTGTGCCACAATGCCAGTCCCTAGAGAATTTTTTTTTTTTTTTTTTTTTTGACAGGCAGAGTGGACAGGGAGAGAGAGAAAGGTCTTCCTTTACCGTTGGTTCACCCCACAATGGCCGCTGCGGCCGGCGCACCACACTGATCCAAAGCCAGAAGCCAGGTGCTTCTCCTGGTCTCCCATGCGGGTGCAGGGCCCAAGCACTTGGGCCATCCTCCACTGCACTCCCGGGCCACAGCAGAGAGCTGGACAGGAAGAGGAGCAACCGGGACAGAATCCGGTGCCCCGACCGGGACTAGAACCCGGTGTGCCGGCGCTGCAGGTGGAGGATTAGCCTATGGAGCCGCGGCGCCGGCCAGAGAATGCATTTCTAATAACTTCCCTGGTGATACTACTGCAGCTATTCTGAGGACCATGTTCTGGGAATCCCTGAGCTACAGTAACCTGAATGTGGGTTAAACTTCTTCAACCAGGCATGGCAAAAAATTAACTAGTGAGGGTGTTCAGTTATGAATCGAAATTATTAAAGAGGGCTTATGATTTTCTCAGAACCATAAAATTAAACACAGTAGAGGGATGCGTGTTGTGGTACAGGTGATAAGTAGCCACCTGAGATGCCTGCATTCCTTATCAGAATACCTGGGTTTGGATTCCAGCCTCCAGCTAGTGCCTACCCTGAGAGGCAGCAGGTGATGGCTTAAGTTCTCGGGTCCCCTTCACTCATGCGGGAGCCCCAGACTGAGCTCCTGGCCTCCCTTGCTTGGCTGTTGCAGGCATCTGGGGAGTGACCAGTGGATGGAAGATCGCTCTCGCTTCCATTATCTGACTTTCAAACAAATAAATAGATCTTTAAAAAAAAAAAAAGATCAAAATGACAGATTTAAAAAAAAGTGGATTCTGGGGGCTGGCACTGTGGTACAGTAGGTTAAGCCTCCACCTGAGATGCCAGAATCTCTCTCTCTCTTTTTTTTTTTAAAGATTTACATATTTAAGAAGCAGAGTTACAGAGAGAAGGAGAGACAGAAATTAAAGCTCTTGCATTCACTAGTTCACTCCTCAAATGGCCACAATGACTGGAGCTGGGCAGATTCAAAGCCAGGGGCCAGGAGCTTCTTCTGGGTCCTCTACATAGGTGTAGGGGCCCAAGCACTTGGGCCATCCTCTGCTGCCCTTCCCAGGCCACAAGCAGAGCTGGATTGGAAGAGGAGCAGCCAGGACACGAAACGGCGCCCATATGAAATGCCAGCATTGCAGGCAGCAGCTTAACCTACTACGCCATGGTGCGTAGTGAATCTTAAAAAAGCAAAAAGTGTATTCTGGGGGCCAGTGCTGAGGCACAGCAGGTTAAGCCACTGTTTGTGACACCAGCATTCATATGAATTAGTGGTTTGAGATACAGCAGCTTCACGTCTGATCCAGCTACCTGGTAATGCACCTGGGAAAGCAGCAGAAAATGGTCTAAGTACCTGGAAGGGGAAAGGAAAGTGAACTAATCATAAAACTAGAGAATATTCTTTTTTTTTTTATTTGACAGGTACAGTTACAGACAGTGAGAGAGAGACAGAGAGAAAGGTCTTCCTCCCATTGGTTCACTTCCCTAATGGCCGCTACGGCCGGCGCTGCGCTGATCCAAAGCCAAGAGCCAGGCACTTCCTCCTGGTCTCCCATGGGGTGCAGGGCCCAAGCACTTGGGCCATCCTTCACTGCCCTCCTGGGCCACAGCAGAGAGCTGGACTGGAAGAGGAGCAACCGGGACTAGAACCTGGCGCCCATATGGGATGTCAGTGGTGCAGGCGGAGGATTAACCTAGCGAGCCATGGCGCCAGCCCCCGAGAATATTCGCAATTTAGGCAGGTTCCAACTTGAATGTGACATCTCAACATGCAATTAAATTCTATTTATTCACTGAGCATCAGTAAAATTTGTGGTCAAATTAACCATTTGACCCGAGGCCAGGCAAAATAGGTAAAACAATTTTGAAAATTTATTTGAAAGCTGTGTTGGGGGATACAGAAACTCAAATTCTTCACCAGCTTTACTGAAGTTTCCTTAATATATTTTCAGAGATGTACAAACATCATTACAATCCAATTTTAGAACATTCCCATCACCCTAAAAGAGCTCTCAAGTTGATTTGCAGTTACTCTGCATTCCTACCCCCAGTAACCACAATTCTACTCTCTATAGATAAATTCTACTTATTCATTTACCTACTGATGGACATTTGGGCTGTTTCCTGTTTGGGGCTATTGCATTGACACTATAAACATGCCTGTACAAGTCTTTTTTGAGGACATGTTTTATGACTTGGCACCATTTTATACTCTTGCAAATCATGAGGGTTCCAGTTTCTCCACACCCTCCCCAACATTTCTTACTATCTTTCATTATGGCTAGCCCAGTGGGTATAAAATGATACCTATAATTTTATTTTTCTCTGATGCCTAATGACATTGACCATCTTTTCATCCATTTATCTGTCATTTATATACACTCTTTAGAAAACTGTTCAAGTTCTTTGCTCGTTTTTCAGTTGGGTATTCTTTTCACTGTTAGGCCATAAGTGTTCTTTATATATTCTGCATGCTATTGCAAACTTTTTCTCACATTCTTTTTTTTTTTTTTTTTTTTTTGACAGGCAGAGTGGATAGTGAGAGAGAGAGAGAGACAGAGAGAAAGGTCTTCCTTTTGCCATTGGTTCACCCTCCAATGGCTGCCGCGGCCAGTGCACCACGCTGATCCGATGGCAGGAGCCAGGTACTTCTCCTGATCTCCCATGTGGTGCAGGACCCAAGGACTTGGCCATCCTCCACTGCACTCCCTGGCCACAGCAGAGAGCTGGCCTGGAAGAGGGGCAACTGGGACAGAATCCGGTGCCCCGACCGGGACTAGAACCCGGTGTGCCGGCGCCGCAAGGTGGAGGATTAGCCTAGTGAGCCGTGGCGCCGGCCTTCTCACATTCTTGAGGAAATCTTTTTAAATCCTTGAGAGTATCCTTTAAAGTACAAAAGTTTTTAATTTTGATGAAGTGCAAAATGACTTTTTAATCCATTAATTATTCCTTATTTATTTATTATTTCCTTCTGAGGCTGTATCTAAAAAAATCTTTGCCACTTAAAGGCACATAAAACTTTTCTTCTAAAACTTTTATAGTTATAACTCTTGCATTTAGATCTTTCACTCTTCTGAAAAACAAAAACACATACACATACACACAAACCCAAAAATGCAGTCAAAGGCACGAACGTATTCCAAGTTCATAGCAAAATGGAATGAAAAGAATGCCAATTTCCCATGAGCTTTCTGAAGCTCCCTCATAGAATTCTGGAATGTAGAATAACAGAAGAGACATTCTTTAGCCAACCAACCCAGGTAATCACTAGAATGACAAGTGTGACATACAGTCTCATCTAATTTAGTAACCTACCTCTCAGCCACTGCTAATAGCCGTTCTGGCCTAAAGGTACCCTCGGTATCAATGTACATGGCCTTTCCTTCACCTCCACCTCGGTCAATGGGAAGCTAGAGAGAACAAAAAGAACAGTGGAAATCAACACTACATTTCTGACATAGCTGGTCAAGTGTCTTCCATCTTCAATATGGCTAAGGGTAAAAAACACTTGAAAATAACACTCAAGTGTAGGCAGGAGGTACTCCCTTCTTAACAGAAATACAGCTAGCAGCAGACACAAAGCTCATTGAGTCTCATAGCACATAAAACTAGAGTCTTGTCAGTTGGATGCTTAGAAATATTGTCCCAAGTAGGTGACAACATTCTGAAATGACTGCATGTCAATACAAGACTGATGAATGGGTTGGTTCTATGGTATAGTGGGAAGGGGCCACCTGCAATGCTGACATCCCATATGGGAGCCAGTTCGAGTCCCAGTTGCTCCACTTCTGATCCAGCTCTCTGCTATGACCTGGGAAAGCAGTAGAAGATGGCCCAAGTCCCTGGGTCCCTGCCCTGGCTTCAGACTGGTGCAGCTCTGGCCATTGTGGCCAACTGGGGAGTGAACCAGAGGATGGAAGACCTCTCTCTCTCTGCCTCTTCTTTTCTCTGTGTAACTCCAACTTTCAAGTAAATAAATAAATAAATCTTAAAGACTGATGAAGAAGAGGACAAACATTTGGAATGCCATTTACTTTTGGTTTAATCAACAGGGGACCCTGATCCAATAAACAATTAATTATAGCATGTCTACAGCAAATTTACACTTCATTTCATTGCACACAATTCTGAGTATTACCAAGGAGCTTGTCAATGCCCCAGGACCACCAACGGCAAGTTTAAAGTGTGAGCAAGAAGGAGCTAGTGCTGTGGTGTAGGGGATAAAGCTGCCACTTGCAACACTTGCATCCCACATGGATGCTGCTTGGAGTCCTGGCTGATCCACTTCCAATCCAGCTCCCTCCTACCACACCTGGGAAAGTGCTTGGGCCTCTGCACTCATGCAGGAGACCAGGGAAAAGTTCCCAGCTTCAGCCTGGCCTAGTGCCTGCCATTGTGGGCATCTGAGGGAGTAAATCAGCAAATGGAAGATCCCTCTCAATTTAGCTCTTTGTTTTATTTATTTTAAAAGTTTATTTTCATTTGAAAGGAGAGTTACAGAGACACAAACAGGATGACACTATAGGTAGAAGCTTACCCTTCTATACCACAGTGCCAGCCACCAAATTTTCTTTCTTATATTTGAGGGAAAAAATTTCAAAACTATATAAAGAACTACATGCTTGCATTAAAAACTCAAACAGGCGCCAGCACTGTGGCACAGTGGGTTAAAGCCCTGGCCTAAAGTGCCGGCAAACCCATATGGGCGCTGGTTCTAGTCCCCGCTTCTCCTCTTCCAATCAGCTCTCTGCTATGACCTGGTATAGCAGGGGAAGATGTCCCAAGTCCTTGGGCCCCTGAACCCATGTGGGAGACCCGGAAGAAGCTCCTGCCTCCTGGCTTTGGATCAGCGCAGCTCTGGCCATTGCTGCCATCTGGGGAGTGAACCAGCAGATGGAAGACCTCTCTCTCTGTCTCTACCTCTCTGTAACTCTCTTTCAAATAAACAAAATAAATCTTTAAAAACAAAAAAAAACCAAACAACTCAAATACAGAAGTATAGGATGAAAACTGAAAGTTCTTCTCCACCACTCACCACCTCTCCCAGATGTATCCTTCTGGGTATTTTTTTTTTCTTTTCTTAAAAATTTATTTTATAGGGGCCAGTGCTGTGGCTCAGCGGGTTAACGCCCTGGCCTGAAGCACCAGCATCCCATATGGGCACCAGTTCTAGTCCCGGCTGTTCCTCTTCCTATCCAGCTCTCTGCTATGGCCTGGGAAAGCAGTAGAAGATGGCCCAGGTCCTTGGGCCCCTGCACCCGCGAGGGAGACCCAGAACAAGCTCCTGGCTCTTGGCTTCGGATCGGCGCAGTTCTGACTGTTGTAGCCAATTGGGGAGTAAACCATCGGATAGAAGACCTCTCTCTCTCTCTCTGCCTTTCCTCTCTCTGTGTAACTCTGACTCTCAAGTAAAAAATAAATAAATCTTAAAAAATTTTTTTATTTTATTTTTATTTGAAAGGCAGAGTTACAGAGAGGGAAGACCTCTTCTCTTCGCCTTTCCTTCTCTCTCTGTGTAAATCTGCCTTTCAAATAAATAAATAAAATCTTGTTTTAAAAAAAAAGAGAGAGAGAAATCTTTCATCTGCTGGCTCACTCCCCAGAAGGTCACAACAGCCGGAGCTGGGCCAATCTGAAGCCAGGACCCAGGAGCTTCTTCCGGGTCTCCCACATGGATGCAGGGGCCCACGGACTTGGGTCATCTTCTGATGCTTTCCCAGGCCATAGCAGAGAGCTGGATCGAAGTGGAGCAGCATGGACTTGAACTGGCACCCATATGGGATGCCAGCACTGCAGGTGGTGGCTTTAGCCACTACACCACAGCGCCAGCACCCTTCCTAGGTATTTTCTATGCGTTTTCATATAAACACAACTTTTATGTGCTTCTATTGCTTACTATGTGACCTTGAGATTATTCTGTTTCCTTTTCTGCAAAATGTAGGTAAAACCCACCATATAGGATTGTCTTAAAGATTAACTGATTCGCAAAAATGTTTAGCAATATGCCTAATTTGGGGGCTGGCACTGTGGCGTAGCAGGTAAAGCTGCTGCCTGTAGTGTTGGCATCCCAAATGGGCGCTGGTTCGAGTCCCAGTTGCTCTACTTCGGATCCAGCTCTCTGCTGTGGCCTGGGAAAGCAGTAGATGGCCCTGCACCCGCATGGGAAACTCAGAGGAAGCTCCTGACTCTTGGCTCTGGATCAGCACAGCTCTGGCCATTTCGGCCAATTGGGGAGCGAACCAGTGGATGAAAGACCTCTATCTCTTTGCCTCTCTTTCTCTCTGTGTGTAACTTTGACTTTCAAATAAATAATCTCTGGGGGGAAAAAAAGAATGCCTAATACACAGAAAGCACTCTGAAATTTTTTCTGTTTTTATAAAGAAGGTTTAAAAAAATTGTTTTAAATTTATTTGAAAGGCAGAGGGAGGGAGACAGAGACTGTCCATTTGCTGGTTTACTTCCCAAATGCTAACAGCCAGGACTGATCCTGGGCAAAACCAGGAGCCAGGAATTTCAACTGGGTCTCCCACATGAGTAGCAGGGACCCAAGCATTTGACCTATCATGTTCTGCCTCCCAGGGGCAAGTTAATAAAAAGCTGGATTGGAAAAGGAGGTGGGACTTGATCTCAGGTACTCCAATATGGGATGCAGGTATCCTAAGCAGCAGTTTAACCTGCTACACAACATTCACCATCTGGAAGGCTTTCTTAATTCGGAAAGGCAGAAATTATATCATTTGACAAATTGGTAGATAAAAATCTATCATGGTAACACTGCATGGAAGGAGCAAACAACATGTGCACAGCAAAAAGAGAAAGATTCAGAACCTTTGGTCAAGCAGACACCCAATTCCTTGGAGAGGAGGAATTCTAGACACTCTAGGGGCTAAGTCTCCAGAAAATAAGATGAATGAGGTTCACCTTCCTCCACCTTTTGGTACCTTTAGTGCTATTAAGAGAGGGGATTCTTTCCCAAGTGGATGGACCTTCTTGGGCTGAGGGAGGCCACAGCATAAATAGACAGATGACAGCAGGGAGGAGACAAAGTCCCAGGACACTGCGAGGCCAGTCGCAGCCCAAGGCTCACAGAAGTCTGTTCTCCAGCACACTTTGTTCCCTACACTGTGTCCTCCATTTAAGTTATTGGGTGGGGAAAAAATGAAGTCAGCTGTCTAAATAAATGTTAAAAAATTACCAAAATTTAAATCTTTTTCTTATTTTATAATTACACATGCTGTTTCTCACTGTTACCATATAAATAATGCTACGGTATGAAATCTTTTTACGCTTATCCTTGGACATCTGTGAAACATTCTGTTGTAAGACAAAATTTTCTGTCTACCTGTCCAAAAAAATAAATAAATAAATAAATTTCTGTCAAAGGACAGGTGCTTCTCGCTCTTCAAAAGGCTGCAAATGGCTGGAGCTGGGCCTATCCAAAGCCAGGAGCTTCTTCCAGTTCTCCTACGTAGGTACAGGGGTCCAATCTGGGCCATCTTCCACTGCTTTTGCAGGCCATTATCAGAGGGATGGATCAGAAGAGGAGCAGCCGGGACAGGAACCAGCTCCCATATGAGATGCCATCGTTGCTGGTGGAGGCTTAATCCATTACGCCACAGTGCTGGCCCCAGGACATGTGCTTTTAAAACTGGTACTTCGGCACTGGTGCTGTGGAGAAGTAGGTTAATCCTCTGCCCTGCGGTGCAGGCATCCCATATGGGCGCCAGTTCCAGTCCTGGCTGCTCTTCTTCTGGTCTAGTTCTCTGCTATGGCCTGGGAAAGCAGAAGATGGTGGGCCCCTGCACCCGCATGGGAGACTGGGAGGAAACATCTGGCTCCTGGCTTCGGATCGGCGCAGCTCCGGCTGTTGTGGCCATTTGGGGAATGAACCAGCAGAGACAAGACCTTTCTCTCTCTCTCTCCCTCTCAAATAAATAAATCAATCTTAAAACAAACAAACAAACAAACAAACCAAAACAAAAAAAAACCTGGTACTTCTGTTGGGCCAGTGCTGTAATAGATTAAGCCATCACTTGGGATGCCCTCATCTCACACTGGAGCGCTGATATAAGTCCCCCATTATGATCCAGATCCCTACTAGTGTACCTGGGAAGCAGCAGACAACGACATAAGTGTCTGAGCCCCTGCCACTCATGCGAGAGACCTGAGGAGAATTCCTGGCTCCTGGCTCTGGCCTGACCCAGCAGCAGCTGTTGCAACCATTTGGGGAATGAACCAGCAGATTGAAGGTATCTGTCATGCCATGTCACTCTGCCTTTCAACTAAATAAATTATTCTTTTAAAATAAAGTAAAATTGACACTTAGGTTAAACTGTCATCTCAGATTTGTAAAGTTATTTAGCACTTTGAATAAGCATGGGCTGTTTATTTTTATAATCTATCTGTAGTT